TTAGTAGAGACAGGGTTTCACCATGTTGACCAGGATGGTCTCGATCTCTTGACCTCGTGATCCACCCGCCTCAGCCTCCCAAAGTGCTGGGATTACAAGCTTGAGCCACTGCGCCCGGCCTTGCCTAGTCTTAATTTTAAAATAAAATAGCAGGGCTGAGCGTGGTGGTTTATGCCCATAATCCCAGCACTCTGGGAGGCTGAGATAGGAGGATCACTTGAGTTCAGGAGTTTGAGACTAGTTTGGGCAACATGGCAAAACCCTGTCTCTACAAAAAAACCACAAAAATTAGCCAGCTGCAGTGGTGTGCACCTGTAGTCCCACCTACTCAGGAGGCTGAGGCAGGAGAATTGCTTGAGCCTGGGAGGTAGAGGTTACAGTGAGCTGAGATCAGGCCGTTGCACTCCAGCCTGGGTGATGGTAGTAAAACTGTCACAAAAATAAATAAATAAAATAGCAACACATGAAACTATGCAGATGAAATGGAAATAGGGAAAACTTTTTAGCTGAAGCAGGAGACTACAGATGATTAGAGGAATATCTTTTTGTTTGAAGGTGTTTACTTCAGCCTTCTTGGGAGGTTGGTGATGATAACTCAACCTTTGCATCAAACACAAGTCCTTTTCTTGGGAAACACAGGCTTGAAGAAGTCTTGGAAGAGTGGAAACAAGGGAGGTTTATAACATATTTCAAGGGAATAAGAGTATTTCATTACTTCTAACACATTGTTTTGTCTTTGAACAGATAACATGCCTGGACATTTCCAGTGGAGGAGGTCTTGGTGTGTCTTCTAGTACTGATGGAACCATGAAAATCTGGCAGGCTTCCAATGGAGAACTCAGAGTAAATAATTTGGATATGCATTTAGGGTCTTACACAGAAAGGGTGGTCTGAGAAGCCTTGGACTGTGACATGGAAGGAAGAATGGCTCATTCTAAAAATGTGGGGCCACTCTGCATGTCAGTTGATCTCTTTTCTCCCATTTGTGTGTTTTTTTGTTTGTTTTTTTTTGAGACAGAGTGTTGCTCTGTCGCCCAGGCTGGAGTGCAGTGGTGCAATCTCAGCTCACTGCAACCTCTGCCTTCTGGGTTCAAGTGATTCGTGGGCCTCAGCCTCCTGAGTAGCTGGGATTACAGGCATGTGCCACCACACATGTCTAATTTTTGTGTTTTTAGTAGAGATGGGCTTGCGACATTTTGGCCAGGCTGGTCTCGAATGCCTTACCTCAAGTGATCTGCCCGCCTTGGCCTCCCAAAGTGCTGGGATTACAGGTGTGAGCCACCACTCCTGGCCTCCCATCTGTTAATTGGAGAACCATTCTCAAGCTTAGGGATTTGGCAAAACAGAGTGGGGCTGGAGCAGTTAAGGAGTCAGGCCAGGGAATGTCTAAGTGGGTGTGCCCTTGTTGCTTTCAGTGATCAGTTTCCAAGACACAGTAGCTTAGCTGTTAGACTGAATCTCTGGCTGAGCCTCCAACCTTTACAAAGGATTTTAAACACAGATGAGTAAAAAGTCTCCAAGCCACCTCAGCTCTTTGTTCTTATAACTAGACCTAGAGATGGCTGTGAGAGTCATGGAATTCTTTTTTTTTTTTTTTTTTAAGCTAGGTTCCGGGGTGTTTTTACAAGGAATTCAATTCTATAACCTCTATAGCTGAATTCCAGGAAAGGGAACACTACCTGGTAGACAAATAAGCTAAGAGATCCTTTGGATATCCTTAGTCATAAAACCCAGCATGTGGGTTTAGCAAGTAGGTATTTCATATCAGGGACCAGAGTATGGGAGGTAAGAGAACATCAGGGATGGACAAGAGAACTAGCATGGAATTTTCTTTTGTTTTTCCAGAGAGTATTGGAAGGACATGTGTTTGATGTGAATTGTTGCAGGTTTTTCCCCTCAGGCCTTGTGGTTCTGAGTGGGGGAATGGATGCCCAGCTGAAGATATGGTCAGCTGAAGATGCTAGCTGCGTGGTGACCTTCAAAGGTCACAAAGGAGGTATGAAGTGTGGTTTCTCCAAAAGGCTTCTCTAATGATCCCCAGAGATGAATCACTGAAAAGGTGGAAACAGAAGCTAGCTATTTACAGACATACAAATAATCCTCCCAGATGGGCATTTTGATGAGCTGCCATTTCCCAAAGGACTAGAAATTCCTTTGCCATACAGTCTTTTTATTGCTATCTTGAACTGTCTTACACAATTGGTTTGATATCTAAAGCCTTTTTTAGCTGGGTGCAGTGGTGCATGCCTGTAATCCCAGCTTTATCAGTTGTTTTCCACAATTGATAAAGGAAAAAAAAAGCCTCCCCAGGAAATCATATACTTGTGTGCTGGAAAATAGAGTAAGAGAGAAGGAGGTGTGCCTACATTTTCTCATATTCGTCTTCTGGCTGAGGGGACCATAAAAGCTGAATGGTTAACGGCTGCATCATCAGACGTTATAGATAGAGCTTTATGATTCTCATAGATTTAAATTACACTTCATGTTTTAAAAATGGATTAGCCATATAACATGTTAATATCAGATTATAGAGATAGAGTGAGAATATCTTCCCTTTGTAACTGACTTTTGCAGGGAAAATATATATTTTAGATACGTTTTATACTTAATTGGAATATTAAAAAGGGGATAAGTAGATAAGTATGCTATTCTTATTTTACAAATTTGGATATTTTTTAAAGATATAATAATATTCCCAAATAATTCCTTGATCCCTCTTCTGGAACCATAATACATATTGTCTGTACCACTCATTTAGGAATTAATTATGTATTGCCCTCTACTTATGGTATTTTTAACTCTGTGTACATTGTGAGTAACTTGTGTGTGGAAATCAAGCTTTAAGCTTTTTTTTTTCTTTTTTTTTTTATAGAGACAGGGTTTCACCATGTTGGCCAGGCTGGTCTCGAACTCCTGACCTCAGGTGA